GGCACATAGTTAGAAAAAGTTGCCGACCCCGGGTATAAACAGTACAAGACATGCGTCTTCAATATGCTTGTAACTATAGTAGTAGACAAAGTTTAATAAACATAAAATTATTTCTTAAATCCACTGAAAAGTATCACCTACTAACATCACGAAGTAAGGCAGCTGAAGTTTCTGGGACACATCATGAGGAAGAAGGGCCTGGAGAATCGGATACTCACAGGTTGAATAAGAGGGAAAGAGAGACAAAGGAAAACAATGCATGATATACCCAGCGGGCTTGAGCAAGTGGATGATAGAATGTGGTCTGGGGGAGATGGCAGAAGGAAGGGACTTGTTAAGAGCTGCAAGGTGTAGAGAGAGATGGAGAGCCATGATCGTCTATATTCTTTGAAAGGACATGGCACATAAAAAGAAAGAAAGACTTATCTACTTAACACCTCATTAACCCATTGCCTGTGATTTCCATGTCCATTTTTCACATGTGTTGCACACAAGCCATGATTTTAAAAGAGTGGTAAAACTAAGGATACTTAAGAAAAGAATCTACTATAGAGCAGGACATCTGAGGAAAGGCCTAATCTAATATTTTGTGCATTATATATGACCACAGTAATGTAAGGTCTCAAATGAAAGACATCTATTTTTCCACTTTATTGAAATGATTATAACCTTTGCATCATACGTGATGCACAGAGTGTAGTGTAAATAACTTATGATTTGTACGTTCTGTGCACCACGTGTGATGCACAAGTTTTTATTATGTGAACCGCTATATATCAGCACATTCTAATTTTGCCAAATAAGATGAGTTGCCTTGCAATAGTTATAAATCTGAAAACAAGCATGAGCATTTGTACACACAAAAATGCCCTGAACAGGCAAAGGTTTAATATTAACACCAGCATTCTTAATCACAAGATACTGGGATAAACAAAGCAAAAGATGAAAAAAAAAAAACAAAAAAAAAAAACCAGTACCAAAGTGAAGGACAATCCTACGCACACTCACCAACCTCAATATAAATCCAGACTTTCAAAGTCAGTTCTCTATACTGCCTCTCTAATGACCAAATACCTAATCAGGATCGCTGCCTACTACAAAGAAGGATGGGTCTTGCTCAGTCTCCCTGATCCAAACTACCAGGAGCTATAGTGCACAAGAAGGATACAATTTATGTTTGAATTTCTGGAATGAGGGGTTATAATTATTTACATTATCTATACTTGGACTATTGTCCAAATGCTTTGTTATCACATTTTGGCTGTTGTGCCTGTTGGCCTTTCTCGGGTTTATATCAATCTACAGTGAAATCTGAACAGAACCTTTTATATAATCTACAGATGTAGACTGTTCTTGTTTCACTGGTCTTATTTTTAATGCTCATTTATTGCTTGCCTGTTTCCACACAACCCGACCCAGAGATTGAATTCACAATCAATATTGTCATTGGTAGCTTGTATCCCCCTTTCTATTTGCTGCCACAACTGCAAGGAATTGAGTGCATGCAATTCTTGATCATGTTTTCTCCAGTGTTAGTTTTTACTTGGCAGAGATTTCTCTGTAAAGAGAAACTGCTTCTGAATGTCAAATTCTCTAATTTTAATTTAAATCAGTGCCTTGTAGTTAAATAAAGATTTAAAAAAAAAAAAAAAAAAAAAAAAAAAAGAATTTATCATTTCACCCCAATCAAAGCAATAATGTCACTAAGATGCAATTGGTTACTGGGAAAGAAAAGAATGAGAAATGACAATAAAAGAAGAAAATTCATAAAAACAGAAGAAGGTGATTGATGTTGCATTTAAATTTTTGAAGATTGTAGGTGACAGAAAAGCGAGAGGTCAGAAGGGAGTTCCACGGGTGAGAAGTGTGAGAAAAGAAATTATTAGAATTCTCTCTTGAGTTATTCAGTTTTTTCTCTTGCTTACCTCCTTCTCTTGGTTTCAAAATTAGTTCGACAGCTTCCTTCCAATTACTGTGCAAGATGGCTCTGGAAAAAAAAAAATCCTCACATGAATGTCATTTCAATTTTAAGTTTCTAAAGTAAAAATAGGTTTTCTGGGAAATAACAAGGAAATGGTTGATGTACTATGTATTTTTCTGGTTGCAAAGCTTCAAGTTACTTTTTAACATTTAGACTAATATCCTCACATCTTTCTTTTTATTTTTTGTTATATTTTGGCAATTGTGCCTTCCAGCCTTCTTCAGGTGTCTGAAGGTAACCTTTAGGAATTTCAAATTGAACTCTTTATTTAATCTACAGAGATGGAATACTCAATGATTCATATTTATAAATGCAAGCAGCCAACAGTAGAACTTCTATCGAAAGTTGTCATAATTCTTTTCTCAACTTGTGATGTTGCTGGAGAAGAAGGGAGTTTTCTCATAGAACCTGATGGATATTCCCTGATTGCTTCATTTAAGTTCTTTCCTAAATTCTTTACTAGAGTTGGAAAACAAACAGTTCTTTTGTAAGAGTTATCTCCTCTTGAATGTAATTATTGATGTTCCTGAACCTGGATGAATCCCATTCAAAGCAACAATTGAGATTGATTGTTTATATTTTTTTTTTAATTTATTCCCCAAATGAATACTTTTAATTCCTCTTAATTGATAAATGCCATAATATTGAATGCAAGATATATATATATATATATATATATATATATAATCGACTCTCCCGTCAAGGTTCGACGACGTATGAGGGTCAGGCCGATAAGTCCCCAGGAAACCGACGTCCCGACACCGCACATGAGATTTGTTTATAGTGGTAAAGACCTTGTGCAGAACCAGCCACACTTTTTGGAGGGACGAATACAGAAACCTGGTGCACCGAATGCATGCCACAAGGTTCCCAAACGACCCTCCGCAGGTTTTGAATTCAGAGTTGTCCTTCTCCTAGACCAGTTGCCATCCAAGGCTATAGAACCCAGTCTGTCCTGCTATTTTACCCATAGCTGGAGGGAGATGAAGAGGATACATACCTTTCCCAAGGGTATTAGCATGTAAGTGAATGCAGTGGATTCGACTGGAATTGAACTCGGCTCTACATTCCTCAATCCAAGCCGCTAACCACTGCTCCACGTGCCTCCTATATATATATATATATATATATATATATATATATATATATATATATATGGTTTGTGGGAATCAAAATCTCTGCATCGGTTACTTCGTGCTTATTACGAATAAACATATTATATAAATATTATTTACATGCAGACTATTGTCGTCATCTTTGTTGTCATTGCATTTTGACCATTGTGCCCTTCAGGGAATTTTGAACTGGACCATTTATTTAGAGAGGTAGATTGTCTGTGTCCAGGGATATCTTGTTTAGCTCTTATTTAGTTCTGTTCAGTTATTGTTTGTCCAGTTTCCACTGCATCCAGCTACACACTGCTTGGCCCAGGGATTGAACTTGCTTTCCTTCAAATTAAACCTTATGTGTAAATGTGATCCAGTAAAACTTTTACCTTGCACATTCAGTATTTTTTTGAAGACCTCGGAATTAGGTATTAAGTGGAAATCATTGTCTACATGTATAATCTTAATGCTGTGTAATATAATATCAAAAGAGTTGATGACTTTAAATATCTTGGATCTTGCATAATAGATTCCCAAAAAGACTTCAACATCCACAAAGTCCTTGCATGGGATGTACGGAATAAACTTTACAAGATTTGGCACTGGAACCTTCCACCCTCCTTAAAAGTCCAAACCTTTGGAACATTGATTAAACCAGTTCTACTGCATGGATCAGAAACTTGGATATTATTTGCTCATCTTGAAAGATGACTGGATGGAACATATACAAATTTACTTAGAAAAATCCAGAACATCAGATGGAGATCCCATGCAACGCTTAACACAATTTACGGAGAACTGAGAAAAATCTCTCTTAAACTCAAACAAAAACAATCACAGTTTGCTGGCCACTGCCACCAAGCGGACAAGGAAATCATCTCATCTTTACTCCTAGGGCATCGTTCGAGAAGTGTCTTCTCATGAAAATTGAATTTCTCAGACACCATAGCTCAAGACTCAGGGTTAGACATTGGGGATCTGGGGACAGTAAAGCAGGACTGAACAGTGTGGAAAGGGGTTGTCAATGGAGTTCTGACCAACTATAGGAAGGTCGAAGGAGGAGGATGATGATGATGATGATTGATGAAGGTGATAATGAATATAGCAATGATCTCAGCTGTGAAAATTTGATAGTTTGGTTTAAATGCTGGAACATTGCATTTTTCTTTTTTATATCACAAATGAATAAAACATTTACATGTGCACTATTGTCCTCATCTTTGTTGTTATCATAGCATTTGGGCCATTGTGCACTCCAAATGTCTGACAATCTGATAACCTTTAAGGAATTTCAAATTTAACACTTTATTTAATCTATAGGGATGGATTGTTCTTCTTCCACTGTCCATGTCTAGGGATATCTCTTGAGTGGAAACAGGGTGAACAATAATTGAGCAGTACTAAACAAGAACAAATCTGATTTATTTTTTATGGCTTATCAACCTTTTGCAGGTTATTTAAAGCCAGATAATATATTTAGATTGTAAGAATTTGGGTGGGGGTAGATAATAATGATTTACTAATACAAGTCCTACTAATTAACTCAAATCTGGAGGGACAGGTGCATTCATACCTCCCCCAAGGGTATTTGTGCGTAAGTGAATATAACGAACAAAACTGGAATTGGAACTCAGTTCTCTAATTTCCAATTGTGAGTCATTAGCCATTACACCACCCATACATCTGGTCACCCATCTAGGTACTGACCAGGATTGATGTTGCTTGACTTTGGTGATCATACAGAAACTTGTGTTTTTAATGTGATATGACCAATAAGAACAAGACGAAATATCTCTAGATATGGACAGCGGAGATAGAACAATCCATCCTTGTATATTGAATAAAGGATTTAGTTTAAAATTCTTTAAAGGTTACCCAGATTGATAGATGCTTGAAAAAGGGTAGCAGGCATAATAGTTGAAATGTGATAATAACAACAAAAATGAGGACATTAGTCTGGCTTAAAATAACTACTCATCTAAAAAAAAAAAAAAAAAAAAATTCAGCTCCAAGTTAAATTAGGCAAATTCAATTCTTGCCAGTCAAATATATTCACTGACCTGCCAACATGATACGTTGGAATGGACGTGGTACCAAACCGTTGCATACCATAATAATTAGTGAAGCCTTTTTCTTTCAGAGATTCCAATGCTTGTGTCACTTGTTCATCATCTCCACTTACGTTCCTGACAGAGCAGAAAAAGAAAATAATAAAAGTAAATTAGACATTAAAAAAAAATGATAACTTCATAAAATAAAAAGCCTTAATGCACATATAATAAACTCTGCATTCAGGCAGCAAATGTTTGCAAATACTATAATAAAATGGCAGACATTTTATGTTGATTAATTCTAAAAATTATCTTTTCCAAACTATAAATAATCCTTCTCAAATAAGGAGGAAATTCTGCCAAGAATTGTCCAAAGTTCAATTCAGAAGAAAAAGTAAAAGTAATATAGTTAAGAGATTTCAACTTTCTTAAGTCATCATTAGGATAGTTAGAAACAAATTTATGAGCTTAATAAAATTTTAGAAATGGTGTCATGATACAATCATAAAAAACAATAAGTGGTCAAACATTAGAAGCCATATAATAAAAGTGTGTAAAACACATTTTTTAATCTAACATTATAAAACCAGTCAGTGTTGTGATATAAGCAAGGCGTGATTTTGTATATGCATTTAAGGATGTGGGCTATTAAGTCATAATTGTTTTTATTTATTGATGGTTGTTTTTGTTGTATGAGTACTGCTTCAAGAATCACAAGTCTTTTTTTTTTACTTTTTGATTTTGCTATTATAATAAACTATACATTTTTTATTTGTGTGGTCCAATTTTTGTTAGTTTCTCTGATCATAATCATTCAAAGTAGAAGAATTTCAAATAATATTTTAGATACAGATAAATCATATTTATCATCACAGGGTTTAATGCCATGTAAAAAAAACCCCAAAAAACAAAGAACTAGAGTGCGTGTGTGTGTGAGTGAGAGATTAAGTAGAGAATAAAAAAGAAATAATTGGTAAAATAAAAATGAATAAAAAAAACATGTATATGTGACACTATGAATGGGGCAGCCACATAGTGGTGGTAATGAAGAATGGCATATGATTTTTATCTCTATTTCAAGTGTTTCATGGTTTTATGACAAGCAATAAATTTGTGAGATCATCTTCAAAGCATTCAACCACTTGTCCAAAAGGGAATGGAAAAATAAATGAGTGGATGAGGGCTTTTGGAGTCAAACAACAACAAACCAGACATTGATGATTTCTGGTTATTACTATATATTAACAATCACAGATGGGACTGAAGAAGTTGGTTCTGATTCCACTTGGAGGGGGGACAAGGTGTCCTTTGGGTAGTTCTAATGATGTCCAATCATGTAGCCAGCCACAGGTAGTGATATTGAGATGGCCAGAGAATTGGCTGGAGGAAGAACTGAAAAGAAGAGCTGAATTGTTAATCAAAGTTGTCACCTCTACAGCCATCCAGACTGAGCAAGTGAAGCCCTGAATAAAACACTTAAATATATTGAAAATAGGGCTGAAATCCTTAATTCTTGCTGTGGTGTTTGTCTTCAACTTTCATTTCATTGCAAGCTTGCAATGGGTCCTTTCTAGTTTTTGGTGGACACCAATATGAATCAAAATGATGACGTAATATGTAGTAGACTTTGGCCAGTCAGTAGAAAGCTGGATTAGGGTCCCATTGTATGTTTACATATTTGATAAAATATTTTTGTGCTACCCAATTTTTTTGTTAGATTTTATGCTTTTTGTATCTGTCTATATTTCTGAGATGAGGTATTATGTACACTATTTACATTATTCAGACTATTGTCCTCATCTTTATTACAATGTTTCAGCCGTTGTACTCTCTGGCCTTCTTCAGGTGGTTGGAATGTTGAACTGAACCCTTTATTTCGCTCACTGGGGTAGACGGTTCTAGTTATGCTTTTTATATGTTAATTGGTTTTCTTTATCATAAAAATTCAAAGCTGAAAAACTTCAATTCAATAAAATATTAAAGTATATTAAAATATTAAGAACAGCTGAAATATGGCTTAATGTCATTTTATTATATCACAAATAAACTTAAAAGAATGAAGGAGTCAAGTTTACATTATTTACACTATTCAGACTGTTATCCTCATCTTCATTGCCATATTCACAACATTTCGGCCATTGTACGTTCTGGCCTTCTTCAGGTGATTGGAATTTCAAACTGAACCTTTTATTTCATCCATTGAGGTTGATTGTTCTAGTTCCATGCCTTTTCCAGATGTCTCAGTTATTTCCCTTTAACTCTCCAAGTTTTGGCCTGGTATTGAACTGACAACTCTTTGGGTCTAGGCACTGGATCTAACCAACATCTTTATTCACTGGGCATCTGTGTATGAATTTTTGGGACTTATAAACCTACAGCGGTAGTGAACCAAAACTTGTTCTGATTGAAGATCAGTAGTCATGTTCTACCAGTTTACTAACAAGCCTGTTTCTATTACAATAGTAAGAAATGAAACTTGTTAACTGAAAGTAATAAATGTAGTTAATAGGTAAAAATTACAGGTTTAATGTTCAATCCTCTAGAAGTATATGAAAAATAGTAACTGTAATATTTGTGAATTTCTTATGCATCAAAGAACAAAATAAAAAAAAGAACCTACCTGAGTACAATGATGAAGCGATTACCTAGTAACTGTCCTAATTTTAAGCATTCATCCACGTAACTAAAAATATATAGAGCAAGACATGGACAAATCAATAGAAATCAAACATGCAATTTTCATTATATTTACTCAGCGATGTTGTTATTAATTTTACTACAGGGTGGTCCAAAAGTCTAGTCACCGCCTTACATAATATGATTTTTTTTTATTCCAGTTGGCTGACATGAGCTCCTACAGTTTGGAAGAGAGGAAGGGGTAAGAAGATTTTTGGACCACCCTGTATTGTATATACTCGTATATAAGCAGACTTCATGTATAATGCAAACTGTAAATTTTTTTTTTTCTTCATGAATTTTAACATCTCCAGAAAAAAATTAGCTGTTACTGAAAATGCATGATTTTTTTTGTAAAGCCCCTGTATTAAAAAAAAAAAAAAAAAAAAAAAAAAAAAAAGAAAAAAGAATCTGATGATAAAAAAATTGTACTATACACTAGTATACACGGTATGCAATACAGCTAGTCTTTTTTTTTTGTCTGATGTCTGTAATCCTTTCAGTGGGAGTTATCTCCCTTGTACAGACAATTAAATAAAACTTTCTTGATTAGTACCTCAATTTTATGGACTTTGATTATCTGGATGTAAAATGAACACATCAATGGTAAAAATTTCTCAACTGACAAGATGGCTCATTCTGTAGTTTTAGTTCTCAATACCATCTTGTTTTTGTTATATTTCCTTATCTTACTATCACAGTTTACACCCATCTACCTCCCATCTCCCGCTGCCTGCCACCACTACCAAAAAAACATGACGTCTACTTAAACCCGTGTACCCATTAAATACAATGTTTAGAATAACAACAAATATTGGACTAAAAAAAATCCACTAATTCTGTATGTAGGACAGGCTTCATGCCAAACAAGAAAACAAAATTACTGGTTTAAAAATGACTTAAGTAGAGAGAGAGAAAAGGAAAAAGAAAAAAATAATAAAAAAGGAAAAAAATTAAAAATACAATAAAACATTTTTGAAATTTTGAGAGAGAGAAAGAGAGAGGGGAAGAGACAAAGAAAGAGAGATAGAATAGATGAATAAAAAAAAAATGATGAGCCAATAGTAAAAATAAATAAATAGAATAACTTAGAGAAAATTATTTTTTAAAAGGACTGAACAAGTTAATATAGTGGGTAAAGGAAGGTAGAGGGGGATTGGAAGTATAAGAATTCTAACAATTTGTCTAATAAAGTCATGTCATTTTAGATGGCAGTCATCATCACATAATACAATCATCACCATTTTAAACAAATAATAATAATTATAATAATAATATCCAACATAAATAAAATAATAAAATAAATCAATAAATAAAACTAATAAATTTAGATAATTATAAAGAACAAATTTATAAAATAAAAAATTGATAAGGATAATAATAATAATAGGGAAATATAATAATAATAATAGGGAAATATAATAATAATAATAGGAAATATAATAATAATAATAGGGAAATATAATAATAATAATAGGGAAATATAATAATAATAATAGGAAATATAATAATAATAATAGGGAAATATAATAATAATAATAGGGAAATATAATAATAATAATAGGGAAATATAAAATAATAATAGGAAATATAAAATAATAATAGGAAATATAAAAAAATAATAGGGAAATATAAAAAAAATAATAGGGAAATATAAAAATAATAATAATAATAGGGAAATATAAAAATAATAATAATAATAGGGAAATATAAAAATATAAATTATTAAATAAAAAATTATAAATAATGTAGGCATCAGCAAGACAATCATATAAATAAATACATATATCTACACACCTATATTATTTATTAAATATATAAATTTTATCTTAAATTCCATGATAAATACGCTGTATGTTGGAAGTGAATGTGGAATACAAAGCTCTATCTTCTTCAAATGTTTGGATCTTACATTCTATATCAATTTTTGCTGGAAACTTTTGCACACATTTAAATTAAACAAGAATGGAATCAAGCTAAGATTCAAGAATTGAAAATTTTTGTTGTCTCATTCTCTAGACATCTCTCAATATGGAAACAAACAAGTCAGGATCTTGCACAGATTGTTGTTGTTAAAAAGAGCTTCAAGTCATTTTTGTTAATTTCTGCTTATTTAAAAAGCTTGCTTCTCTTGTTCCACCTGAGTGGTCTGTGAACTCTTCATTTAAAAAGGTGAAATTGGTCTTATGCATGCCTGGCTCTAACATAAAATTTCAGTAGTGCATGATCTGAGGGCTATTCTGTACTCCCACGATGTAGCTTCCTAAATCAGTGTTTGTCAGGTCCTAATATATATCTTGAATGGATGAGGCTTGTTTTTGGTAATTACAATTTGTCAAAATTACGAAATGAAATAAAAGTAAAATAACTTTCTCTTAAATGGTCCTTTTCAGGGAAAGAGGAAAAAAAAAAAAAAATAAAGTCCTCACCTGAAATTCCCAAGGCATAAATTTTTCAAGTCTTTATTCAATTCATAAAGCCGCTTGATAGGAGTCCTTAAAAATGAAATGAAAGAAAGAAAAAAAAAAAGGAAGAAAAAATAAAGGATGTTTTAAAAGTATATATGTATAAATATAAATAAATATAAATAAATATGTATAAATAGGTAAATACAAGTAAATATGTACAAATACACTAAAACAAAAGGGGGGGGGGAAACAAGGATAAACAAAAGAAAAAAAGGTGAATTAAATGATATAAACAAAACAAAATGAAAAAAAAAAAAAAGTAGTTCTCATTTTTCAGAGCTCAAAAGCAAAAATTGTGCTCTCTACCCCTTTGTTATATATACATGTGTGTGTGTGTGTGTGTGTGTGATTAAATAATATAGACATTATGTCTAGTTTTATAATAATCCTTTCTCGTTCTCTATCTTCTTAATTTTAAGTTGAAATCCATGAAGGAAGGTGCTATATTTTTTGTTAACCCAAGTACTTTCAAACTCCACCAAGATCATCTTCAGGGGGTGAACTGCGAAAACAAACCTAATATAATTGTAATCACAATGACTGTGTTCTTTGGAATGGATCAAAAGTACTTAGGTTAACAATAAATACAGCACCTTCATTGATGGATTTCAACCTAACAAAGAAAATAATTAGGGAACTAGGAAGGATTATTATTATAAAAATAAATAGACATAATATGCCTGTATTATTTAATGAAACATGCTTGAATGAAGATATACTACCTAAATATACATATATACAGGGTGTGATGGGTAAATGGTCGCCATTTGATATTTTTAATTTTGTGCATGCGCGTTGTTTGCTTTTAATTTTGTTGACTGCACAGTAGAGTTGGGTAGCGTCTGTGAGAAAAAGAGAACTATGACGTAATTCACTCCACTAGATCTTTGGAAATGGTATGCGGTACTGCTTGGCATTCATACCAGAAGCTCTAATACAAACATTTCAGAGTGTTTGGGTGTCAATCTGTGGGCCATGTGGAGGATTTGGAAAGAGTTGGATGAGTCTAATAGTGATTACCAAAGTACAGCAATAATCTTTTCTGATCAGAAAAGACCTCTTGAATTTGTTGGTGAGGGCCTCAGACTCAACAGAGGCTTACATCAAGTGCTCTGAGAAGGTCATGCTACCCTGGGTCAAGAGGGTGGCTGGTGGAAGATCATGTCTGGCAACAGGACTCTGCACCATACCAAACATAAGCAGAAGAACCCAGTCATGGCTGTCAGACAATTTCTGCAACCACATCACCCCTTACATCTGGCCACCAAACTTCCCAGACTGCAACCCCCTTGAATTTTATGAGTGGGGCACAGTTGAGCGAGGAGCCAACAAAGCTCCTTTTAATACCAAAGATAAACTGAAGGCAAGGATTATGGAAGCATTTGCCAAATTAAACAAAGAGACCACCCAGAGGAGTTGCAGGAGATTCTGAAGAATATATAAGAAAGAGAACCAAGAATTTCGAGTTTCCATGGGGGCACGCAATTCGGTAGAAGCATGTGAACTTGTAGGGATACTGTTACGATATAAAAAAAAAATCAAAAAAAAAAAAACAGTATATACAGAGACGATAGGATAATCCCCCTTCATAAACAGAGTCCAAGACAAGCAGACAGGATGAGAAAGAACCTAACCAAATTCTTTAAGGACCATAAACTGAATATTACTACCAACACCAATGCTAAAGTGATAAATTTCCTCAACGTTACATTTGACTTGAGTAAGGGCATATACAAAACCATACACTAAGGATTTACAAAACCATAGGTATGTAGATAGAAGATCCAACCACCATAAAAAGATACTCGGCAACTTGCACAAATTGGTACAATATAGATTATTGATCAACTCCAGTGACAAAGAAATATTCAATGATAATAAAGCTATCCGTCTATATTTCTGAGATGAGGTATTATGTACAGTATTTACATTATTCAGACTATTGTCCTCATCTTTGTTGCCATATTTATCACAATGTTTCGGCCGTTGTATGCCGGTCTTCTTTAGTATCTGTCTATATTTCTGAGATGAGGTATTATGTACACTATTCAGACTATTGTCCTCATCTTTGTCACCATATTTATTACAACGTTACGGCCGTTGTACACTCCAGCCTTCTTCAGTTCCATGTGCCTTAAAACATGGCACGTGAAACTAGAATAGTCTACCCCAGTGAGCAAAATAAAGGGTTCAGTTCGACATTCCAACCACCTGAAGAAGGCCGAAGCGTACAACGGCTGAAACGTAATAAATATGGCGACAAAGATGAGGACAATAGTCCGAATAATGTAAATAGCGATAATAAAGCTACATATAATAAAGCGCTAGAATGCAGCAACCATATTGTGAAACTGGAGTATGTAGTAAGAAACAACAACAACAAAGATAAAAATAAGCTAAAACAATGCAAATGTAACAAATATGGTTCAACCCACCATACCACAATAATGTCAAAACCAACGTAGGTAGAATTTTCCTGAATTTAATTCATAAACACTTTGGTCTTCTCCAACACTGAAAAAGATTTTCAACAAAGATAACATTAAGGTAAGCTATAGCTGAACAAAAAACATGGATAATTACATATCCCAACATAACAATAATGTATTAAGCAAGCTCCCAAATAAAACACTAAAAAGTAATCCTTCTAAAAGTCAGTGCAACTGTTGTAAAAACGCAACCTGCCCATTAAATGGGCAGTGCATGACAGAAGACATTATATACAGATCTAGCATCAAATCAGATGATGTGAAATATTACTCTGGACCAACTGAGAATAGCTGGAAATCATGTTTCTACCACCACAAATGACATTGAGCAACATTAAATACAAAAACTGTACAACGCTTTCAAAGTATGTTTGGCGATTAAAAAGCAATCATGACAACCCATCCATTAACTGTGAAATAATTGCGAAAGGTAGGCCATACAAAAGAAAGGGAGACAGATGTAACTTATGTTCATTGGAGAAGCTTATTATATTAAAGCACTTAAATAATCCTAACTTGCTGAACATGAGGTCTGAATTAATGTCTACATGCATCCACAAATCCAAGTACCTACTCAAAAACACTGACCCTGATTAAAAGTGATTCAAAATGGATTTTACAAATATTAACAACTTCTAATATTCTCTGAACTCATTATCTATAACTTTCCTTATATACATATACACACATACAATGCAATATTACTGTACTCTATTAATTTATAATGTGTGTGTGTGTAGATATAATTTCACCGTTATAAGTACATTAGAGATATATAGTCTCGACTTATTATTTAATCTACTTATTTTTGCACCTTTATATTATATTTATAATCTGTGTTATAGTTTACATTAATAGACATAACTCGGGTTTTTTTATGCTAAAAACGAGAGTTACCCCACTTGATATATTGTTTACTTTTGAATCCAAATTCAAGATGATTTTTTTTTTTTATTCCCGGACTTTTGAACTTATGAATTTGAATGATATAAATTATTAATAGTTAATTCTATATTTTAAATAGACAAGTTTGTACACCCAATTTTGAATCACCATCACAAGAACGCAACATAACGGTCAGAATTCACATCTGAAGATTGCATGAAACTGAGTAGTGTTATCGACATTGGATATTATGTATATTCACTAATATAATTTATATAGATACCTCCACAAAAATATGATACCTAATGTTTAAAATGAATTTTAGTTTTTGTTGGGGCGCACCCACCTTCTGACTGAGAATGGACTGATCCCTCTATGATATAGGTCAGTGCTAGAGAGATCAGGAACGTTCTGTGGAGACCAGAGAGATCTGGAGATCAGGTGACCATTGCACTTCCGTCTCTCGACCGAAAGATACCATTGGATTGTAGACTCTTGCTAATTGTTATTACTGACCTGTGTTCGTTATTACTAATCACTCTGTCGTTAAATACCTCTTCAAATATACCAGTATTTTTCCCTACATCTGTGTTTGTCTTTATTTGAATACACACACGCGGGAACACTCCCAACATCTCAACAGTTTTAATTTCATGTTGAGAGATTAAATTTAATATAATAATAAACAAAATACTAAAATACACAATGCTGTATTTCAAAACTAATTTAAATTCATTGGAAGGACTTTTCCTTTGGAAATTTATAAATTTTTTTAATTTAGTGCCATAAAAAGGTAAATCTCTTTAAAAAAAATCTTCCAAAAATAAAATATAATTTTCTGAAACTTTATTTGCGGGATATTAGCTGATTTAAAGTATAATTAATCTGATTCGAAACAACTACCTTTAAGCTAAAAATTATCACAGAAATTCATTTATTAATATTATGGTAGTTTATTCATTTATGTTAATAGCTTTTTAACAGCATTGTGAGAGCTTGATGACAGATTTTTATCTAATGTTGTTCGATGGCGACTTTCACCTTAAAAATGAAAAAGTAATTGAAGTATATAATGCCAACACCTTTTAAGTACTTGGGGCTCTAAAATTACTATAGCTGTAGCTCTTTTTTTGTGATAATATCATGCATGTGTAGTTGTATGTATAAAATTTGGCATGTTTTTACACATACAAAAAAAACAAATTGAAAATTTTTCTTAAAATTATTCAGGGCTTGTCAGATTGTAATAAACTTTACAATGTATTATTAGTAAATATAGTTTTACTTAACAATATTTCCTAGGAGTTACATCATTGAAACTTAATTTTAAAAAGATTTAAAAACAGTATAAAATATTCTAATTAAAATGAAAAAAAATATTGTAAATGTCCTTAATATATATTAGTCATAAAAGCAATTAAAAGTTTCTTTTATTAAATAATGTCTTAATTTTATTGCATTTTTTTATATTTTGATTCAGGGCATATTTTAAGTAAGACAGGATCAAATTGTACAAAAAAAAAAAAAAAAAAAAAAAAAAAAAATCAATTGGAATATTTAAATTCTCCAAAGATTTCTGCTTTAATATAGTCAGTAAAAATTATGAATTTCTCACATTTTCATCAGGGGTGAAACACAAAAAAAAAAAAAAAA